TAGAAAAGGTTTAGCCCATGTTTGGTGTGGATTGAAATTTTGATTTTAATTTAAGTCAAAGTGATCAATTAATCTTAGTCACAAATTATTGAGATTCACAATTTTTCAACCATACATTTTATCAATTTTTATGAAAATGTATTAAGATTTTGATTTTAATCCCCACCAAATGGGGGATAAATAATTTTGTAGTCAATGGCTTGATATCTTATGATGTGCTATTCGAAGTAGCTTTGATATGTTGATAGAAGAGTTTTCGCTTTTCAGTGTAGAATTAAGCTCCTTTTTATCCCCTATTATTTCCCATTAAATAATAATTCACATTTCTCTCTCTTCTTATCAACCACAAATTTTACAATAAAATAATAGTGCACGTAAACCCAAATTTTTTTTATTCTTTTTTAACTACACATTCTAAACAAAGTTACTAATCCTTTCATTATAACGTGAAATAATGGGATCCAAACGAGCGCTAAATACATCGCCCCCATTCATGCTTAAGGGGTTGAACTATTAATGGGACAAGAGACCTCGTTTGAGGTCAAGCCAAAAAAGAGCTAAACTAGTACAAAACATTCCAAGATGTAATGTTTGATATAGTCCTCATTTAAAAGAATCGTGCTTGATGTACAATTATGGATGATAACTTTATTTACAGAATATAACATAGCATTTTGTCATTGGAGAATTTCAACAAAAAAGTTAATTTTGCAACCATTAACTTTTTTGTCAACACATCAATTATCTAGCAAGTTGTCATTCATAATTGTACAAATAATGTTATTGCATTTAAGAATGTGTAACTGAGCTAAACATAGTTGCCATTATGATAAGTCATAATATTGTACAATCAAATCTGACTAAATCCAAAATTACCATCAAATTGAGAGCATCTAGACCTAGGGGTGGCAACTGAGCTGAGCGGCTCATCGGTTCGTCAAAAAACTAGCCACGCATCGCTCGGGCTCATCAAAGACGAGCCCGAGCTTGGCTCACCCACGGGCGAGCGGCTCGTGGGCTCGTCCAAAATCGAAGGTTTACCTCTCTTTTTTTTGAAAAGGTTTATCTTATATATATATAATTGATGAGCTCTCGAGCCGGAGCTCGGCTCTCGATCCGCGAGTAACGAGCCACGAGCTCGGCTAGTGACGAGCACGAGCCGAGCTCCTGTGTGTATGGGCTGAGCCACCTCTATCTAGACCCCTCGAGCATATTACATGTGTATAGCACGATAATTGATATTTATAGGACTCATACTTTCTTTAAATAATCAAGAAAATGACAAGCATTTGTTCATGTGGTTAACTATAAGCCATGTCGTATTGATGAGAATAGGTGAATCACCAAAGTTCAATATTACGCCAATTATATACTTAAAAAGTCTAAACTCACGTTGATAACATGATATCAAAAAGTGAAAATTTTAATACATAATATTAAGTTCTGTTGGTTGACATTATTTATTTTTTACTTACCAATTCTTCTACATGTACATTGTGGTTGATATTAAGTTTGACATGACATCAATCATAATAATTGATTTTAATCACACTTATTCAAATCAATAGTATCATTTTCTACACATCACACAATGTCAAATTTAATGTACACTAGATATATACAATTAGTTTAATCATTTACTAATATAGCAAAGTCAAATGTAGTGTTCGTGAATGAGTTCCAATTTGGTTCAGTTGCAAAATTTATTAAAATCTAAATGAAAGTTAATAATTAATTTTAAAAACAAACATGGGTCCCATAATTTTTCGACCATACATTTTATCAATTTTTATCAAAATATATTAAAAATCTAATTTTTATTTAAATCAAATAAGGGTTGACCATTAAACTAGTATATTCATGGGTAATTGGCGCAAAACGTCCTTACGTTTCATTTTTTGGCGCAGAACGTCCATACCTTTACCATTTCTTGCGCAAAACATCATTTTCATCTATTTTTGACCATCTTACCCTTCTATTAAAATAGAACAAAAAGAAAAGAAAAGAAAA